TAGAAGACCTCTCATAAAAAGCTGTGATCTCATTCAATAAACAGAGAGTTAAATCCAATATAATATACGGAATAAAATACAAAATCGATAAATAAAAGTGCTAGATGAATCTTTGATCTTTTTAAGCAAGTTCTTACTCCCTCATTCTGAGCCAATACTCAAGTGTAACTCCCGGTTGACCGTGTAAGACATGCTCTGGGTGCGCGAACATTAAATATAGTTCCATTAAATAATTATTAACACTGGTAGTTAACACTTATTTCATTTGATAAAAAAAGCCGGACTGGTGGTTGTAGTCACTTTTTATTCAGATAGTGGAAGCGCGTATGCCGCAGTATGATATGATTCTCACGCAAAATAAGGAAGTGAACATACACTTAACACGTAAGGTTTTGACGCTATCAAGATATTTTAGAACGACATTTAACCACCAAACTTGTCTTTACAGTCTAAAATTAAAAGTTCATTTACGAAGTTCAAAGTCAGTTTGCTAATGGCATGTAATAGAAATAATAATGAGTCATCCTCCTCTTGTTAGAATGAGCTGCAAGATATACAAGTAATCAAAGTTTAAACTTATCTCTTTATTGTCTCTGTCTTTGACATTGTATTATACGTCACCTCATCACCTATTAATTTTATGTTACGTCCAAGGTTTAGGAACCTTTTGATATTTAGAAGTGTTTCTCTTTAATGTTTTAGGGATTTGACTTGATGTGAATTCCACATTATAAGTTTATTTTGGCCTCCTTTGACAAAGTACTCCAAACTTTGCCGCTATAATTTCGTCTTTACTTTGGTGTACACCGATTCGGATCATTTTAGTGTCACATTTACCATCATATGAGACATGAAAGCACCCTTTTATAAATAGTAGTGAGGAAATCATCAGTGGATATTTAGAAATGGCTTTTCGGTGTAATTTTTGCCAAACGGAACTCAAATCTGAAAGCACTATGTGCACATTGAATTCACGCCTTCCAAACAAACGGAATACTAATGTAATAGTAGCCCGATAACAAGCTGACGACAATCCCTGGCACTGTCCTAGATTAAAATTTTGGTGAGATATGATATGCAGAAATAAGTCGCGAAAAATCCTCCCATCCTATTTAAATAAATATCACGAATTGCTTAAGGTTTACGAAATACGCAGAACCAAACATAGCAGCTGCTTAAAGCATGTAAAATGATCCTGTGGTGGTATATGTTCTAACCTTAAGATACGCAATGCTGAGCATAAGACAGCCGAGGAAGCTCACATTCAATATCTGAAGCGGAGAGAAGGCCAGAGATGGTGAATGTAGAGACAATAGATGGATATGGCATGGCTCGATCATGCAGGCGTGGTCACTCTGTATAAGCTCTTGCTTTTCGTATCGAGTATATTACTCGCTTCAAATCTCAAATGTGTTCTTCAGAAATGCTAGAAGTAATATTAGTGATTGTCACGATGAGACGAGTCAGTGTAAACTATAGTGTGAATTCCACGAAAGATCTTATAGATTAAGTGGTCACATCATAACAAATCTGGAATTTTTGGATTATGTCTACTATTATGGTAACAAAGATAAATGTGCTAATACCGAATTAGATTGTAGTTTAACAGTCTCGCCGTTATGTAGATGTTAGTTTATTTATGGGAAGTGGGTATATCGACATCAAGATCAGACTACCACCAAAATAAAGATATGCGTTTTTAATTTTTTTCAGCATGTGTAAGATCTGTAATTTCGAACGCTACGTTAAGTCGAAATTTCTGACTACGATTCATATGTGTGACGTCCTTAACCTTTGAAATTTTTTATCAATATTTTATACGACGTATATTTGGAAACCGCGCACCAGAGACAAATATTCACAACCACACAGTAACTTGTAGACAGGTGGCACTAACAGAAACAAAAAGTATGTATAAATAGTAAAAGGCCCGCAATATCACGTCTATACAGTCAGCCATTATACGAAAGTCGGGATAGACATTGGTGAGCAATCGAATTTTAATTTATTCAGAATAAGAGTGGTCAAATTTTTAAATAAAAATCCGTGAATATAATAATAATTTATTCTCAAATAACAGTTTCTCACATGAGGCATGCCGGTTTACAGACAAGATCAAATTGTTACAGAAGTTACTATTTTCACTATTGTAAATTACTCAACTGGGTTGATATTTTATAAGATATGAATGTAGATGGTTTTAGCAAGAATCGTTTTGTCAATATCACAGTCGGCAAGCTTTATGAAGGTTGCGTTGAGACAAGCAATTGATGGCCGAGAATAGATCCATCTGAATTTAGGGGATTCTAGAAACTGCAACCTTATATCCTTCTGGAATATCTAAGGCATCTTATAATGGCGCAGAATGAAGTCGCATGTTCCATATCTGTCTTCGGCGGCGTATCTCAAGGGGGCTGAAAAAGGGTGTAAGAAAAAGAAAGGACGAGAAGCAGAGCAAACAATGTTCATGAAGAATGGTTAAGGTATAAATACTTAGTCTATTTCTCTGTTACTAATGTACTTATTAAGCAAGAGTATTCTAATATGTTAAATAAAATAAGTGTAAACAATGTACGAGTGGATAAGGAACTACATAAATGAAGGTGGTTCAGAAAGAAGCATGAAAGTATGGGATTATGTGTATTTATAAAATATAGTGCTGAAAACAGCATTCCGATGCACAAATGTCTGTTCCCCTTCTTTATCGAAGCTATTTCAGCCCACTTTTTTGTTGAATTTACAGGGTATTTAACAGGCTTCGTTTTTAGAGAAGCAAAATTGATGAGGTCAGCATCAATGTCGAAGACCTACAGAACTACTTATTTTTGTTATTTATTTGCTGTTACAGCTCATTCACTCCTAGTGGGGTACTGGTGACACTGCGACGTGATAGTCAGAAGTTTAAAACCTACAGGCCAGCCGTTGGTTAACACTTCTGATAACTTGTTAGGTTCAGTAGCATTTGATCGTCTTTCCCTAATACAAGGGGTTTTGTACCACACGATAACACTGAAAAAAATATACAATGAAAATTGTCATTTATCGTATTCTTCGTCGGTTTTCCAACTGTTTCATCCATCCTGGGAAAGAAAAGAAATCGTAAGTGCATGTCGAAACGCACTCGTACGTGCGTAAGGAAAAAGATCGAGCGAAAAAAGGAAAATAAATTTGGAAATATGTGTTTGGTTGATCTACGTAAGAACAATTTCCGCACAATGAGGTTATGGCAAAACATATGCACATATATACGAGCATAATACAATTCATGTTTGTTTTGATTTTTTTGGCACAAGCATACAAAAACTGAAATAAAACAAAATGTTATGCATTATCATACGTGCAGTAATCTTTTAAGTGTCCCGAAAATCTAACTCTGCCTCCAAAATATGTTGTTTTTCGCCGGTTACCACCGAAATGTCTTCGTGATTGTTGATTATTAGGGAAGTCATCATAATTATGAGGCTCTTATGGTAGCATCGTTAGTTCCATTTTTATCGACGTTATGGTATTTATGTTTGCAATGAAGCAATTTGAATTGTCCTTCTTATGCACTTTCGAGAAGTCGTTGCAATGAATTTCGAAATGCGAAACGTGTGTGTAATGTTGTAAATCGAGTTAGTCGCAAAAACCAATTGGCTGTAGTTGAGTGGAAATAGGTTTAACTGAACATATAGCGTTTGTAAGCCTGCGTGTGTAAGAGTTCATATTCTTATCCATTGGAGAAGATCAAGAATCCATGAATTCTCCTGAAAGCCGAAGTGTTTTTTCATAAAACAGTTGTGCAGCAGTGCGAATGCCGAGTAACACGAGTGTAAGAGCGCCAGTTTACTGGGAAGAGTTTGTTGCTGAGAGTGAAGTTTTCAACTGTCAGTGAAATCGTTCTATCAACTCGTTGGTTTGTGCTTCGTACGCGGTCGTCCGGAGTCGTGGGATTCCTAGTAGTATAATAAGATGACAGAAACGTCCAGATTCGAACTGACGCTTACGACTTGTAGTGATAATTGGAGGGCAGTAGTAGCTTGCTACTCTTGGCTCGATGAATGCTCAAGCCAGTGTTTCAGCAGTGATGTACTTCCGCTACATTATTAGCCCCAGAAAAGTGTTATATATTTAGAGCATTGTGCAAAATGAAGTCCAATTGTTGAGACTATCAAGGAAAGTAGTTATCCGAAGACGAGCTTAGAAGGTGAGAGGTTTGTGGTCAGCGAACAGAGTGAATTATCGACCAACTACAGATTGTTGAAAGCACCGTACAGCACAATAAATGCTTAAATATTCGCTACAGAAGTTCGATTAGTTGCCTCGCAACCGTCTCGAGAAGAATGCCTAAGGTTTTCGGGTGTTCCATATTCATTGTTGTAAGACTACTTCGATTACCGTGTCAGATGAGTCAAATGCGATACTAGTGGGCGATTTAGTGCTCTGATGTGCGAGCGTAACTGCCTTTGCTGCAATATCCTTCCTTTGGAGAATGGTCGTCCAAATTGCTGATTTTCACATTTCCACGAAATTGGTCTATGATGATCTCATATGAGACGAGCAAATGGGTGAAAACCGTCGTTGAATACTTGCCAGGCCGTTGAACATACATAGTTACTAGACTGTGGTTGTTTCTGATAATTAAGAATGACGGTCATCTTGCGCTTCGGTGGGCGGATGCCTTAAACATTAATAATGTATCCGAGGAACCCAGGGATTTGATTCCAGTCTCACATTTCTGTATATATACAGGAAAACCATGTTTTTGCACCCTTTAGAAAACAAGGTACAAATGCTATTTATGAGATTCTTTGTCCGGACTACAAGTAATATATTTCATAGTAGTCACCCTGAGGAACCATTTGTTGATTTCTCGCAAGAACCGAATTACAAGTCTTTGAAAAATGCCACGAAACTGCAAATTTTTTGCAGAAATTTCAGTAAGGTATCTTTAGTAAGTAGTACGTACACGTGTTTTAAATCACTTATTTGTTGCATTAACTTGGCCTTAGGGTAAGCGCACTGTTTGACCGATTTTTAATATCGTGTTTTCTTTACCTACCATATCGCATCCTATGTGTCTGATAAACAGTCGTCAAATTATTATGCTGTCGAAAAAACAATAATTTAGCGATAAATGGAGAATTTTTTTATGCATTCTCAGGTATTTCATCAATTGTCGATTGAATTTTGGTTTTTGAGAACAGTTTACTATGTATGAAGAGTTATGTTGAGAATTAATTTTTTATGTCACCACCAGTGCTGCGTTTCGTTATAAGCCCTTCCACTTCATCTCTTCATAATCATCTTTTCTAGGGTGTAAAGACCATATTACTCATTTAGTAGTCAGTCTCCGTTGATCTATATGTGACAGACCAACGTTTACTCAAGTGTTAGGTGCATTTCTTGAATGAGTTTGCTTAAGTTTCCACATAAATTTTTTTGTGGGGTTAGCTATGAAGACGTCCGTCATTACCTGTATTTTGTCCTTCTTTTCACATTTGTTTGTACAGCAGAACGATACCCCTTGACATCATAGGGCTACATTTCCCAAAATTGGACAATTCACTTGATAAGGCTAGTAAGCAAGCTGAATAAAGTGCAAGAACGTGATTTCTTTTTAACTGTAATTCCCGATATCGACGACCATAACTATTTGTGGTAATAATATTAGAAAACATTTGCTTCTAATTAATCCGGACTTCACGCATAAGTTAGTGCTGTTCGATCAGTCGAAGAACCCCAAATCATTAATCCTAAACACTCTGTTTTCATCTATTTTCTGTGATAAACGGTGTGAGTCATACAATGACATTAAAATTATATCTAGAACATTGAAGCATACCCTAAATGATTGTTAAATACTCTCCGAATGTTTGTTATCCCTACAAGGCCTAAACGGAATAATTACATTGAGCATTAGGAACAGGTCATTATAATTCACCCTAGTGGTTTTCATAAGGTTTTGTCTATTATGCCGATTTTTGTCAAGCTTCATGGCAACTTGTTTTTCAAGCGGCAGTTAGGGGTGGTTTCCCTAGCACCTTACGTGCTTTTATTCCACTGATTTATATTTTCCTGTCATATCTCTGGTGGCTAGTCTTTTCAATCACCATTTACACTGTTACCACCTCTACGATTCTGGTTTTCGGCCCGATAATTTCATCTCTCTGTCAGTCAGTCAGTTAGCTACAACGTAGGACAAGACATATATATGCATCGGCCGAAGTTGCCACACCTCATTAGCACAACAAGATGAACACTAAATTCATAGAAGTAGTCACTTCATTGGTATTAATATATAAAAGAAAGATTGCATGTAAGGATATGATACAGAAAGAAAGAATTGTTTTGTAGAAAGGGGTGTACGGAGTAATTTTAATCTCACGGTTTAAGGGGAGACAAAGAGTGTATACACCTACACTATTGTGGTTGATTTTTAGCCATGTTACCCAGAGTTTCTAACCATCTCTGTGTTAATGGGGTATAGCATCGTGAACCAACGGACATACTCTTCAAGTTCTACATTATCTGGCTGACTGGATAACTCCTTCTGCGCTTTACTCCATTTCTGACGTTCTCTTTGACTTGAAGTACAGTTGAATGTTAAATTTCATTCAACGTTTTGAGTACAGATGAAAGTGTCTCAGATATATTTTTTATTTCTTAAATGTAAGCTGGCATTACAAGACCAACATGTATACAGCCATTATTTAATTATGTGAAAAATGTCCGTTTTAAACTAAAAACTGGCATCTTTAGGTTCTTTGATAAGTATACTACCACTGCATTGAAGAACAGGAGTTAATGTCTACGAGAATTTCTATAGTTTGAACTCTGTTGATTTATCCCAATCAGTTGCTACCGGATAAGCTAACGATTTACGTCTGCCTTTCAGAAAAGAAAAGTTGGAAGTTTCTAAATCACATGAATGAATCTAAGTAGAGGACCTACGCTTAGTGTTCAGGAGCTTTGACAGATGATCCTTCGAGACTTTTCGTGGTAAGTCGAATATTATATAATTTTGATATATTATGTACAATCAACTTAAAACAAAGCAACCAACACTTGACACCAAAACATAACCTTTCCTAGTTAGGCAATAGGTGTATTTAAAAAGGCGTTTTTAGCCAGTATATTCAGTAGAACTGCGTTGTATTCGGTAGTGTCTCAACAATTTCGTATTAATTTTAAACACTCCATAATAACTTTCTTTTTCTAAGGAGTTAGTCCCTTTACATGCTAGCCGGGTGTTCAATACTTTTTGTTGGTGTATGGTATGAATTACATGAGTAGTATTCTGAATATTGTAAGTAAAAATATTTGTAAACTGGTTCTGTTTTGTTCGTGGCTGGTGAGAAGTGGTAGGTTTGTTTTATGGTAGATATAACTAAATTTTAAGATCATTAGTGGCGAAAAGGGCCTTATTGAGATTTTAAGTCTCACCCCATCCGTCGGTATGTTTATTGACTCGTTTTCAACAATTTCCTCCAATGCCGTACTTATCTCTGCTTTGTTACTATAGTATGACATTACTGCTGGAGCTAAGCAGAATTAAAACCCTGAGTATTATGTTAAGTTGGTTTGGCTACAGTAAACATCTAAGATGAAAGCTGCAAGTCGCTTGTTACATTCGTTTAGCCACACTATCTACGATCATTCCATCATGCTAAGCCGCATTATGAAATGCAATATTAGCCGAGGATATGTATCACACATGGAATCAAAAGCCTTTATAGCATGATTACAAATAAATCAGCTTGATAGCTATCTCTGAACTGAAGAAGTTTTCTCTCAGATGAGACATCATTACGCATTGTAGTATACCTTTATTGGGTTCCCCAACACCTGTATTTTAGTGTCTTTTGAGTTTCCACGTATCCATCCTTTTGTTTGGTCATTGATTTTCGACTGGTTAATCGTATCTGTAAAGTTAAATCATGATTAACTAGCAGTTTTTAGTAAAACTTGTTCTACGACATTGACTTATTATTGTCTAATCCTAATTGGTAGACCTGGTTGATATTTCGGCTGTCTATGATATTCATAAATGTCTTTTTCTTCTTAACGAAAATGGCTATGACACTAAAGAAAGAAGAAGTAATTTCTTCGGTCAAAATTTGCTTTTCATTCTTACCTTTTAGAGCTGGTAGATTCAATGAAACGTGAATTTCAGTCTTTCCTGGGCCCTAAGCTATAATTGGAAGTAATTTTTCTTGCTAGGCATTTTAGGGATTTACTCAATGATGCAGTGCAAAATACTTCTCACCACATTAAGATCCAGTTACTTGATTCAATCCTTTGGGTACATATCAATTTTTTTAGCGAGGACCTGTAATCTTGGACTTCATTCCTTCATTTGGCAAAGTTGTTTTTACCGAGTGGCTCAAGCTCAATAATTTAAAAACTAGATTCTCAACTTCTTCGTTATGACTCATGATTGGATATATTGCGAACAGTAGAAAAACATCGTTTTAGTTGCTGTTCAGACTCCTTTTCATCTAGTAGACTCCGCCTGGATCCTTTGTGGGGCTGCCGCCGGTCGCAAGCCCAATTAAAGGAGAAGAGTTGTCCATGGGGTAAACGATTCCATCTCATAGAAAACTAACTTGCTAAAAGAACACTAATAAGAAAATGACAATTCAAACCATTTAAACTCTGATCTGGGAGTTAGAAAGTCTTCACTTTGAAAAGTTATGACTTCTTATGATGAAAACCGAGTTCTTTCGGAAGTCACGAGGCTGATGCTCCTTCTGACAACCAGAGCGACCATTAACTTAGGTACATGGAATGTTCTTACAATGTGGCTCCATTGGGGGTAACAGGCGTAAATACTTTACAATCATGTAAGTAAGTATAACTACAGTAGACTACAGTATATTTCGCCTCGAAATGTATTCACCCATCATATTCTTAATATAGGTTATGGAATTACATTGTGTAATGTGTTAATGTTTGTTACAATCATATACTGGTTGTATAAAAGTAAACTATGTTTCTTATTTTATTTCCATTTAGAGCATTTGATCAAAATGAAACTGGATATAATACTGATTACGGTTTTTCTGAAACTCTTACCAATCTATTGCACTCCTACGGAGCCTGTAATATATGGCATTCTCCCAGATATCTATAATTCAATCACTGATAATATTATTGTACTTCCTTCAAATAAACCTATTCATCTTAGTATGTTTGGCTTGAAAATGGATTATATTAGTCATATTGCCTTCGCTTCAATCAAAAAACCACGTAATTCTTCATGTGAACACGAACGTGTAACTAATTCATTTGATGCTTTGCCAGAAAATTCTTTTGTCAGTACCAGTGTGATTAGTCTACGCGAATTATCCAATAATGAAGTCGCTTTTTTTCTATGTATTCGTGTCACTCCCACTTCATTACCGAAAGCTGACTCTACTTCAAATTATACCGATATTGATGGTAAATGGATTTTTGCTGGCGATGGTGGTGGTACTGACAGTGTATCGGATTATCGTTTATCATTTCGAACTACAACTACTCTCATGCCTTTATGGGTTCAAATAATTTTAATTATATTATTATTTTTTCTTTCGGGTTTATTCAGTGGTTTAAACTTAGGTTTAATGTCTCTTGATAAAACAGAATTGAAAATTATTGAAAGTGCTGGTTCACATAATGAGAAAAGTTATGCAAAAGCTATTCGACCTGTACGAGAAAAAGGAAATTTATTACTATGTACACTTTTATTAGGTAATGTTCTTGTTAATACTTCATTAACAATTCTGATGGATGATTTAACTGGTAATGGTTTGTTCGCTGTAATTGGATCTACAATTGGTATTACATTGCTTGGTGAAATTATGCCACAAGCTGTATGCTCACGTAATGGTTTAGCTATCGGGGCTAAAACACTCTGGTTAACAAAATTGTTTATGTTACTTACATTTCCTATTGCATTCCCTATAAGTTTTTTGTTGGATAAAATATTGGGTGAAGAAATCGGTCAAGTATATAGTAGAGAAAAACTCGGAGTTCTTATACGTGAACAAGTGAGTTGTTAATCATTGTGATAACTTTTAAATGAATATATATATATAAAAATGCGCTAAGCAGATTCATAAAACCTTTAGTTTACAAGATCTAGGGCATATCAATCTTATCTTTATCAACATACTCGTCAGCAAAATCGTCACATCTCTGTTCGTATTGTTCAAAACGCTATTGTTAATCCTTTTTGAAGTTAAAGTCGTCAACTATCTCATCGTCTCCACATTTTCTAATGCCGTATCTGGATGAGTAGTTCACATTTCAGGAACGAAAATAAATCCGAAAGAACTAATTATAATTAGTAGAGAGGATGATCTAACGTAATGATGGTAGAACTATGAGACTGAAGGTTTGGGGTAATCACTACTAGATATACAGGTGCATCCTCTTGATGGAACAACCATCCGTCAACATTAAACAAATTTAATAGCATGTGATCTAACGTGTTATCTCTACAACTATCCCTTAACACCTCATGGAATGTTAGGTGGTAGGAAACAATCGCTAGTAAACCCTGGACCTTAGTCACGTGCTAGTTCTCTCTCACCGGCAAAAGTTACCTTCAGTCTTTAGGGAACTAGTGTTTTCTAGTGAGTTCGGAGCTTTATCACTTAGCTTCATAGTCTGAGATGCTATAACAGCTATTTGGGCTTCAGCTGACCTGTCAGACCGAAGTTTTGGTAGTCGGTTAATCATTGAGTAATGCCACATTTGTCTAGTATTTTGTATTTGACTGAATTCTATCGAATAACATCCAGAGTTTCTTACCTACTACGTCCAACTACTCAATATAGTACGTATGATGCTGAGTCACCCAGACTAGCTGCTACATAGTGATTTGATCGTTGGAGTTCGATCAGCACTAAAGGACTTGGCAAACATGAAACTAGTCATTACTCAAATACCAATCAACTGCAAATTTGTTGAGATTAATAAGAGCTTTTCCCAAGTTTCGCTTAAACTTTAATAACTCAGATTATTTATTGAAGGAACCATATACATGTACATAAGTTTTCCGAAGTTCATATGAGGAACCAACCTTCAAGTTCACTAATTGAGAAGGAAGATAATAACTTATTGTACAGTATCGCAACTTGACTAAAGTTGGAGATATAGATCACTGAACTACCAAATTAATAATCCAAAGAGATTATAGTCTTACGGATGTAGAAAGATTATATATCGTGAGTAAACAAAAAAACTAAGCCATTAAATTGTTCAACGAGTATGAAGGGTTCAGGATGCCATAATGAACACCATCTGTGAAATTTTCATCTTCAATTCTACTACTAGTAACATTTCATCTATTTTATCAAAAAAAAACTAATATTTTATTATGGAAATATTTTTGTTACATTAAATAAATTACCGTTACTAAGAGAACAAACTCTTAGTTCTAAGTGTATTATTGTTTTTAGGGTTAAAAAGAAATTACCTTACTTCAGGATTATAATTTAAACAAAAACAATAAACAAGATTATGAACGATAAAGTTTTGAAAAAAACTGAAACTTAGTACTGTAAAAAGTTTCAGTTGGCAAAAACATAAAGCTAAAAGTTAGAATATAAGAACTTTCGTCTAAATTAGAGTGAATAGTTTCACAATATTTGAGCGCCGAGTTGATGTAAGACATTAAATAAGAATAATATATCTTTTGCATGCATAAATTAAACGAACTATCCAAATAAATATAAAACAGATATAAGAAATAATTATAATCGTATCTTTCTGCCATTATTCTTAATACATTATAATATTTTTCAAAGTTGAAATCATGAGTCAATTGAAGCTAGACCACCATCGAAAACCTGGAAGCACTGGACGGCCGTTTCGTCCTACTATGGGACTCCTCAGCAGTGCGCATCCACGAACCCACTCTCGCGGGATTCGAACCCAGGACCTACCAGTTTCGAGCCGAAGCCCTTAACCGATAGACCACTGAGCTGGCAGGTATCCAACGGTGTTAATGTCTAACTTCAACTGATCCACGAAGTTGAGCAACCATTCACCAAAAATACTGAAATCTCCACAAATCCCCTTCTAAACATTATAATATTGTTTCATATATTGTTTGACTTTCTTTTATTTTCTTCTTTATAAATAAAGGCATTAGCTGGAACAGTGGCTGCAGATGAAATGAATATTATTACTGGTGCATTAGCTTTAACTACTAAAACTGTAGCCGATGTAATGACACCATTGTCTGATGCATTCATGTTATCTTATTCAGCTAATTTAGATTTTCATACAATGAATGAAATTTTTTCAAATGGTTATACACGTATACCAGTTTATGAAAATGATCGACAAAATATTAGATCTGTATTAAATGTAAAAGATTTAGCTTTTATTAATACAGATGATAAAGTTCCAGTATCAACTGTTTGTGATTTTTATAATCGTTCAATTATTATTGTATTAGATACAACTAATTTAGGAATGATGTTAAAAGAATTTCGTCAAGGTTAGTTTATTGTTTTGTTATATTTCTTTTCCGACATATTTCTTTGTATAATTTGTCTTTTCAATTTTTATATAAACTTGAAACCATGAGTCAATTGAAGCTAGACCACCGTAGAAAACCTGGGAGCACTGGACAGCCGTTTCATCTTACTATGGGACTCCTCAGCAGTACGCATCCACGATCCCGCCTCGCTAGATTTGAACCCAGGGCCTACCAGTTTCGCGCCAGAGCACTTGACCGATAGCTTCAATTGACTCATGATTTCAAATATATAAAAATTACTTAAAATCTCCACAGAAAACCCCCTTTTCAATTTTTGTTTGAAATTTGTTAAAATTGTGGAAATCGTTAAATTCGATAGTTTACATCACAAATTGATCTTAATTAAATAACCTTTGAAAGTCTGGCAGCATTGAACAATTGTTTAATACTAGTATGAGACCCCTTAACCATGTGCACTTACAACCCCACTGGGAATGGAACTCAGAATCTTGAGGTCTCACAGTTAGTGCCTAAAATTTAGGCCATTGAGTCAGCATTCAGTAGTTTACATTTTTAACTTCATCATCAATTCTTTAAGCTGATAATAATAATGTGTTCAGTAATTACTATTTTAGAGCCATAATTCCTGGAGTTTTAATGAGAAATTGTAACCAAGTGAAGTTTAACCGTATTGAGAGTGGGGCTGTTACTTGCCAGTAGCACTTGGTAATGCGTCCACTATAGTTTTCTTCTACATTCTCCGTAAAAACGAAAGAAACTCCTCTAATTGAAAGTTCCTTGTAGCTGTATTTTTACCTGAATTATGTAACCTATGGTGCAGTATTCTCGTTTAAGTTTCTTTTTTAGTTTTGTTGCTATTTTTTTATTTTTACACTATATTATCTGTTTATTTGTTTGGCCTATACTTTTGGTACCCTGTCATACCAGAATGTATGCATACTACACAAATAGAAATTAATATATATTTTTCTTTTCGGACAATTAATTTTCGAGTAGGTTTTATTTATAAAATGTTTTCAATTTATATAATACGGTCATTTTAAACGTGTGACTGAAACCTTGTAGGGCAACCGAAGTTAAGTCTAAAACATTCTATCTGAACAGAATACATCGTTGATCACTTTACTATGTCTACTGTTTTAGTATAGTATTGTACTGCTTACAACTAACTGTTACAGCATTACTCTACTCAAAATCTATTTAATTCTTCATATTAAAGTACTGGTATTTAGTTTGTATGTGTTTGTAATTTCCCGTCTGTAATTCTAACAACTCCAATCAGTTAGTGTCTATTGGCACATGTACATGTTGTGCGGATCGCCTCGATATTTCAATTAGCCACAAGACTTAATAGCTTACCAGATAACCGGTCGGTGGTTGAAGCGAATAGTACTGGGTTTAAATCTGGATGAGAACTTGGAGATCGGAATGCAAATATATTCATTTGATAATTCTTTCCCCCCCCCACAAAAAAAAACAAAACGCTTTCTGGATCCCAATGTTAGCTAGTCTGTATTTAGTATTATCAAATAGAACATGTTCTTACCCTACCTAAGTGTTTCCATAATTTATAACTACCTATTAAAATTTCGAAAATATTCATTTCATGAGTTATTTATTCAAACTATTTTTTGTGTGTTAAAGTGGCATCATAATGATTAAAAAACGTCACCAAGACATAAAGTGCCTGATAGTTACTATCCTTTTTTAATTCACTAAAATCTGGTGTTTTTTCCGCCACGTTAAATCTAGTTTTTATTGTCTGTTAAAAGTATATTTTAAAAAAGAATTGTGTGATTAGTGAATAATAGTAATTGGAATTCTTTAAATATCGAATTGGTTGTTTTAATTACTTATAATTGTGATTTGTACATAGAAATTGCAGATAATATTGCCAATCCTAGAATATCTAACAATTTATATCAACTTGTACTTACACAACAATGTTGAACATGTTGGTAAGATTGTTGTTCAATGAAATGTACTATAGATTTCCAATTATTGAGTTACCAAGTTAGCAGTTCAAATATGTATTCTGAATAATCCAGTTTAGGTAATAGCTCGGTATCGTTAACTTGAGATATGATATACCAAGAGGAATAGAAATATTTATCGTTTGCAACGTTATACTGGCTTCACGATTTATGATCAAATATAGAGATCCAAAACATAGGCTAGACAATACTTTATTTAACCCATGTACAAGTAGTCACAATCAATGAGTTCAGAGTAGAAACCGATACTAGGAAGAAAATTACAGATTAAACAGTTAGTAAGCTCTGTGTCAGTCAGTTTGTTCTGTATCTTACCCCATTCGCTTTCACTATCATACAAATCAATGTGTGTGTTGATGTACAGTTCAATAAATTTGGTTAGTTGAATCGATTCTTTTACGCCCCAGTATTTTTCCTTTTTATCCACTAGTATAAAATTAAATTAGAATAAACAATAACAACAGAGTTAAGTAATGGCTCAGTCGTTCAGACTGAGACAAATTCGCGCCAGCCTAAGCCACCGTACCATATCAGTACGACGAGATAAAATTTAAAAAATGAGTAACAAGGTAGTTGAAATAATCGTAATCATAATTAGAAGGACTAAACATTAAGAATTGCGTATAAGAAGAAATAGTGAAAAAGTTAAGCGAAGAATTACTGGAAGTCAGAATCGATATGAAGATAAAGAGTGAATACATCTGCACTACCGTAATCGATTCTGATCTATGTCATCTAACATCTCTAAACACTGATCGCAGTTATCTTGCAGAACCCAACCAGGTTGATGAAACTTCCAAGACGATTGAAGTAATCATCACACTCAACTACTTCACTCCTTATGATAAATCTAGACGATGATGCAACCACTGATGGATTAAAACACTCAGCTTTCGAGATAACTCAAACTCCCAACTTCCTGGAGTAACTGACCAATCTTGTGGAAATTTTGGAGAAAACGTGCCAAAAGAACAAAATTTTCATTAGTCTGGGTTTTCTCTAAGATTTCCACTGACTTTGAGGAAATCTATATAGATCTCAGGTTTTTGAACCAAACTTTAACTACTTGCTTTCTGGTGACTGGTTAATAGTATTTCTAGGATTCAGACGAAAGTGAGGATTAAAACCAAGTACATGAATGAACACCAGTATTTTGTGAATCAGTAACGTTGAAGTAAAAATAAAATGTGAAGTGATTTTAGTTTTCAACTCTTGCTTCGAATACTGCTACTTGAAATTTATCTTGGACAATGTTGCTTATTACAAAACAATGTATTTGTATGGTTTAGTTATACTATCTCTCTGGCCAAATCAGTTGAAATGAAAGCAGGGTTCGAGCCCGTGACCTACCAGTTGAAAATGGAACTCATGAGTCACCACTTCACACATGGTCGCAAGTACTTTCTTACTTGAACATCTATACATCGTCTCCGTGTTGTAGTGTGAGCTTAATTATTTGAGATAATATATAGTAAGCCTAAAGTATACTATCGAGCCAGTGAGGATAGAGACAGCGAATTCAAATTCATAGCGCGTATATCAATCTAGTATGGTGTTTATCGTACAATGATGTTGACTTTCAACCGTAATAAAGTTGAATTCAGTCAGGAAACTATCATTAATTAGGTTGAACTATACTATAAAGAATAAAACGTTACAGTTGAAGATTTGGAGTTAGATTTAAACTTAGAGTACAATAACTACATTCTTTACAATTTAATCTTAAATCATAACCCTAGTTTTAATGTTAATTCTAATCTCCAAAGCCTAAATTCAAACCATAAACTGTAATGGGTTAGAATCCATGGTAAACTTGGGAATTTCGTTTATATAAAAACAATAGACTCTTTGTAATTCTTTTCATTTCGTACAGTAATTCGTTCATCCATTCTTTCTCCTTTATATTTTATGCCTTTTGATTGGTTGAAACAGGTGGAAATAGATCTCAATGTTGTTTAGCAGCATAATTTAGTTTTACTGTGACATATTTGATGTTCGTCTTCTAATAAATTAATCAAACATTTTATTTAGAAGTAATCAATTGGAAATTTATTTTTTTTACTCGGAAGGAAAAAAAATAACGCAAAATGTATCCTCAGAATGTGGTTTTTGTTGAGATTGTAGTAATTTAACAATTGAATTCATGAGTCAATTTAAGTTAGACCACTATTGAAGACCTGGATACACTGGACGGCCCTTTTGTCCTAGTATGAGACTCCTCAACAGTGCGCGTCCACGATCCCACCTGCGCGGCTCGAACCCAGGATCTTTGGCCTATCGCGCAAGTACTTAAACTCTAGACCACTGAGCCTGTATCCAACGGTGTTAATGTCTAACTTCAACCAATCCACGGAATTGCGACACCGTCCACCATTATCTTCAGTGAGTCACTGCCTCACAAAAGACACGGTTGAACTCCACTGGTCACTGCTTCTCACTAGAGCTCCAGAAAATAAATCTTGATGCCAATCACTAGTGAGCACATGATGATCATTATCTAAATGTTAATCGTTCGCGCGCGAGACCGAATGTCCTGGGTTCGAGTCACACGTGTGGGTTGGTGGATGCGCACTGTTAAGGAGTCCCATACTCGTACGAAATGGCTGTCCAGTTCATCCAGGTTTTCAGTAGTGGTCTAGGTTAAATGGACTCATGAATTCAATACAATGTATTCAACATTTTTATCTAATTAATTATTTTAATTTATTTAATGTGTGAATAATTCGGAACTTGACCATCGAAATTGACTTTTTATATTAAAAAATATTGGAACCATATATACTATTAGAATTTATATTATGAGCCATGATTCAATGAGAGTGGTTAACAATATATATTTAACCAATAAGATTATCTCTTTACAATCATCGGAGTTGTTGAGAATGCGGAACATTATACAGCTCATAATCGTTAAGAAAGAAGTAAATCCATTTACTCTTTATCTCTGGCTGGATTCTAACTATTTTTCTTTCAAAAAACTCATTCTTCTTAAGATCAAACTGTATATGCCTGATTCTTTCTACTATCATTGGTACTTTTATTATTTCTACTGATTTGAGATTGGTTTTGATAATTTCAACGTATTGTGATGATTTAGTGTAACAATTTAAATTAGATGTGTATGTGTACCAGGTTATATGTTCCTTTTGATTAACTGAATTAATTGTCATGATATCGTTAAGAGAACGATATAATTCACTTCTGTATTGGTTGTTCGAATCTTCCCACTGATGTTTAGGACTGCAATTGATCAGTTTCTTATTGGCATATATGCATCTGGTGTGGATTACCTCGATATTGCCTTAAGTCACAAGCATTCTAAGCAGAGATGGATGGCGGTCAGTAGTGCAATTTAGGACGATCATTTCGTTCGATTTGGGACTCGTCAGCTGGATGTACCTGCATCTTAGAGTTGATCTTCATTTTGGGACTCGAACCCAGTACCGTTCGTTTCAAACGCCAACGAGTTATCCACTTAGCTTTAACTATTTATGTCCTATAATATATCGTTTTACTTCATTCAATAATAACTATATATTGTGAAGTTAAAATATTGCAATGAATAGGTTCTTTAAAGTTTATAAAACATAATAGTATACATTTCTATCACCTAATTAACACAATATTATCACTAATAACAAAACGAAATTATTCAACTAAGTGACATTTGATCATTTTATCAACAATGAAATTGATCATATTTTATTATTAACTATATAATTAATGACATTTGATAGTAGTTGATTAGGGATAAATAATCTTCTAATATCAGAAGGGGGTTTTGTGGAGATTTTAGTAATTTTGTAGTTGAAACCATGAGTCAATTGAAGCTAGACTGCTATGGAAAACCTGGATGCACTGGACAGCCTTTTTTGTTCTAGTATGAGACTCCTCATCAGTGCACATTCGCGATCCCGTCTCGCGAGATTGGAACCCAGGACCGATCAGTCACACACGCGAGCTCTCTAAGAGGTAGTTCCTGGAGTTCTATTGAGAAACAGTGACTAGTGGAGTTCAACCGGGTCTTTTGTAATATAGTAACTCACTGAAGACAATGATGGACGCTGCCACAATTTCGTGGATTGATTGAAGTGAGATATTAACACCATTGGGTGACGGTCAGCTCAGTGGTCTAGAGGTTAAGCGCTCGCGCGCGAGACTGATAGGTTCGAGGTTTGTATTTCCTTATAGTATATTTCCCATTCATTGATAAACATTATCATCTCATTAGAACTCTGATTACATAATTCAATGGAACAATTTCAATATTTTATGTATTAAAAAAAATTATCTGACTTCTTATTTTTATCCTTTCAGAAGATATTTTTTTATATGATGAATAATGTACTGTTGGAATAAGATAAATATATAAAAAAAATTAAAAAAATGCGTCACACTAAATATCACAAGTTTGTATGACAAAAGTAATAATATAGGGATGAGCTTGACAATTAATTCTTAAAATGATCACATGATTTTAATGACATTTTTTTCAATTAATTAACAAAGAGTATATGTACAAATCAAAAGTATTTCACAATGAATCTAATAAAAACTGTTACACTTCAATGGCTTTAAGAAGTTGTTTAACTTTTTATGGTTATTATCGGTTTTCTTATCCTAATATTTTAGCAATATGATTACATAGACTCGCCAATTTGAACGTAAATGTTTTCTCTTTAAAAGTTATCTCTCATAACCACAAATAGTTACATGGAAAGTTTGTCATCATTTAAAACAATTTTTACAGATAAATTTGATGAAATTATGGAGTTGACATTGTAGAAGAACCATCATTGTTTCCATATTGATATGCAGAATTCATTTGTGATAATCATTATCTAGTTTATTATTCCTACTTGGTCAGATCACGTATTAATCATTAGCTTACTAATGAAATGTATTTTCTGAGGGTTTATCATAGAAAAGTAGACTGGAACAAGACTTGATTGACTTTTACATGTTATGTAAAGTCCATATATAAAAACATCAGTGTTTTATAAGTTTAACGTTTTCATTTTCATGTTGAGATGAAAAAGGATTTTCTTTAATAATTTTAAGCCTTTTGAGCACTACACGAAGCTATTTCCGGATTCAGGAATCGAACCTAGGACCTTAGGTTGCACCTGATCTCCTAACTTTTAGACTACTGAGCCGGTATTCAATGGTGTGCATGTCTAACTTCAATTAATCCACGATAGTGAGAAACCATTTTCCATTGCCTACGGTGGATAAGGGTCTCTCATCCGACAGGGTTGTACCTGACTGGTTAAGACTTCCAGGTCTTCAACGGTAGTTTAACTAAGATCAGTTCTACCGAATTCTATAATCTCAATGAAACCGTATTCCGATAAAATTATTTCTATTGCGCATTTTTGTGTAATGAATTTCCCATAAAACATTGTAAGTAGTTTTCTCGATTCTGACTGGCTTGTTTCCATACAAAGCTTTTATCATCCAAGTTAGCTTATGGGATTTGAAACTAGTAGATCACATCTTGAATGTAGCAGAAATAAGTGACACATAGTAGTAAAATAATAACAGTAAAGACAGTAATCATTTTTGTCCAATACATCATTTGTTTAACTGCAGTAAATAAATTCTCGGCACACAATATGAAATATTAGGAAATGTTTTAACTCTGCGTACAAATTGCCCATGTATGAATTCCATTACTGTCGAAGACTCTTGTTTCTTCAAAAAAAGCTGGAATATAAAAAAATACACCAACCATTGTGTTGGTTTCATCTAAATTTAATTATTATTCAGACTTTCGATAGATTGTTAGGCCGTTTATAAAAACGCATGAGTAGTGGAGTGGTGTATGCTACTCATACTGATAGATATAAGTAGTATGTAGTTGAAGACAGAAGTGGAATGCCTGGCAGCAGAAGAATAAACTATAGCGAATCGAATAGAAATCGGAGAGCAATCAAAATAACAACAGAATTAGAGGAATAATAGAGTAGGTAAAGGATAACGCAAAGAAGATATGCAAATGATGTATTTAATGTATGATTTTCATATTTTGTGTAATTTTGCACTAAGCAATAGATTGATTTCTCTCACCAAATCTTTTCGTTCACTACATTTGTACCATTATGCGGTTAACATACATGATTAATTGGTCTAAACAAAAATGAGAGATAAAGTTCACTACACAGCTATAAAATAAATACCTTAAACGTTTAAACGGGATACTAGTTTATCAGATTTGGATCAACTTACTCTTCAGTAGTAAATGATAAATAAGTTTTTATTGGGTATCTTATATGAGCTTCTAAGAAAAAAATCTGATTTAAAATGTAAATCATTGACTACTGACATTTTAGATCAGGGAGCACTGAAGAGATTTTTCTTCTTAGAATTGAACTCTTCATCAGTGAACATCCATGATCCCAATAGGAATGGAATCTAGAACCTTCACACCTTTGGACAGTTGATTTCACACTTAACCGCTCATATTTCCAAGTTCAGTTAGATTGGAATAGTATGTGATCATTCATTGCCATCTGTGATACTAGTATGAGTTGTAACATAATTAAATACTACTGGTCACAGTTTATCACTAAAACTTTAATGGTCGTTCTTGAAAATTTTCATTAGGCAGTGTAATTCTGAAAATATAAAACTTTCCGAATTATTATCACTAACTCATTAATTTCAATATATACTGTTTAATATTATCTAACGCAATTCCCCCCCCATTCTCTTGACAATCACTATATATCTAACCAAATATTAATTGATTTTAGGAAGAGCTCATATGGCATTTGTTGAGCGTTTAGTAACAGAAGGTGACTGTGATCCATATCGTGAAATGATTGGTCTAGTTACACTCGAAGATGTAATTGAAGAAATTATTCAAGCTGAAATTGTTGATGAAACAGATATTTTAAGTAAGTTTTATTATTATCATATTTAATATGAATACTCTGTTTTAAGTTATTTATGGTTTCATTATTTCATCAACTACTCTTTTTTATTATTTCTCGTCAGCTGTTTTCATTTCCAGTATGATTTGTGTTTGGTCAATGATGTATCTTTCAGTTGAGTAGTCTGTTGTGGCTTAGTTTAGGATAGTGATTACACTGTATCGCAAACCGACCAAAGTTTAGAAGCAATGACTATCACATTCTAACTTTTTACTTTTTCAACTGTTTAATATTCTTTTACCACTGCACTTCTTTCGACTTTGCTCAGAAAGGAACAAGGACTAGACTGAAAACAAGATATAGTTCAAATATAAGTATATACAGTAAAATTAGTCTTACTTATGATATAATGTGTGTATCTTGTATTCGTCTGATTATCGAAATCAAGAAAACAATAAGATAGACGTAATTTAAGAGAAGTATGTTCTATCTCTTTAATTAAGATCATGTACCGATCATTTGAAAACCTGAAAGCACCAGTGGTCTGACATTGATCAGTTCATGATCTCGACTAAAATTCAACAATCTCCATAATCCTATACTGATAATTACGTCTTTTTATAGCTTTTTTTCTATCACTTTAGTAAATATATATACTCAAAAATGAAGAAAAACTATGATGTTTACTTTTTTCCAACAACCGTAACAAATTAATGTGACACATGAGATTCGTATGGTTTTTAACCTTGGAACTTTAGAGGTAGAAATTTTAAAATAAAATCATAAGATGGTATGCGATAAATTCAATAAGTTGTTTACCAGTTTCAAAATAGTAAGAAATAATGTCGCCATAAAAAAACGTAATAGTAGTTATCTTGTTTTTTTTTGTTGATAGTTAGAACTTTGTACATTTTAAATGAATCAGTCTATTAGCTAGATGGATGGGGGTGAACTTAGTTTTTTTTTTAATTTCAGCGACATATAAGTGTAGGTAGTTCATCAGAACCGGTCTCATATATAAAGTGATTAAGTGATTTTTTGTAAAGTTACTGACATTCATCTTTTATTTTAAAAAAGGCGTTCAGTTGAATGGGTTTTGTGAAGATTGATCTAGTCTGTAGGTCACATTCGTCATAGAATACTAAAAACCAAAGAGCGCTGGAGAGCTTTCTCGTCCTATTATGAGATTCCTTAGCAGTGCCCACCAGGAATTAAAATCAGGACCTCCAGGTCTCTCAGTGAAAACTTGATCAGTAGATCCACTGTACCGGAGTCCATTGTTACAGTCTTAACTTCAATCAACTTGTGGTTTAACACAACGATAATCCAATGTTACTGATGATAACTATTTCACGTACGAAGTGTCTGATCTCTACCAGTCATGACTTCTCACCAGAACTTCAGGAAGATCTTGAAGTGAATCACGGTTGACATGATTATTGCAGCTTAGTTGAAACGCTTTTGTGGAGTATAGACTATTAAGAAGTCCCACGCTGGGACGAAACAGCTGTCTAGTGCCATTTAATTGCAATGGTATCCTAACTCAAACCAATGTTTAACAGTTACAACTAAAGTTTACGTATGCAGTTATTAATGTTAACAATGTCATTTTATCAAATGAAATGCATGCAACTGTATACAGTTTTTTATCAATCCATCGGATAATGAGTAAAATAACCCTAGATTTGTGTTGGTGAGTTGACATCTGAATTACAATCAATCAAAGTCCATACATAAAAATGTTTATTTAAATCGATAAGCGGAAGTTCAAAAAACCATGTTCTCAAATCTTAAAACGTAACTTCTCTTAGTGGGGAATAGAATTCAACCAATGTTGCATGTTGAAAGCGTATATTTTGGCCATTATCAACTTCAAGATAGGTGTATCAATTTCATCTGGAGGTCGCGATTAACTATCAAAATATCAAATGACAGTGAAGTGATAACAAATCAATCTGTATTCTAGACTCTTTAAAGCCTTTAATATGTTGGGAAAATTCATTCCTAAGCGTTCAAATGTAACAACGTTTGTTTTTGAACTAGATTTAATTGAGTCCGTTATGTATCTGATTTTGGTAAATCATCATCGTTAAACTTCTCAATCAGTTTAGACATTAGTTTTAGTCTAATTTCAAACACTTCAACTTTTGCGTATAATTCATATGTAAAAAAATTCGTAATTTATAGTCGGTTTCATTTAGTTTTTCATTTGTTTTGTCACGTTTCTAAGGCTTCTAAAATGAATTTTATTATAGTAAAACATATCAGAATACTTTGCTTTAACATCATCAATAGCCACACAACTTGTATACTGAAATATTTTTCAATATTTTAACATAAAATACCAGAGTCCTGTTCTCTTAAGAAACGGGCGTTCAATGTTTCCACGTTTTCAATGGTGACCTAGCTAAGATCGACTCGTGATTGAAACAATAGTAATATTTAATAGAAAATTCTCAAAAATACATGCCAAACTAAATTTACCATACTTCCAATTAACCCAACTGAGAAAGTGAGCAAAAAACGTGCACCGTAAGCCATAAGAAAACATTTAATTACCCTCCAATACTCACTATTTCAATGGAACTTCATTAATGATTAACAATCGACATTAGGATACACACGTTGAACACGTCTTAAAACTTAACGGTCTACTATATTTTTGTAAGCTTTTATACTTCAGACTAACTGCACATGAACTACAGCATTACTGAAACATAAGCATACATACATACATATTTTTATTATTACTGAAATCGTGGACCGATCAACTTTAGACCACCATTGAAAACGTGAAAGCACTGGACTGCAGTTTCGTCCCAGTATAATGGACGCTACTCACAAGATTGCTTGTAAGTAGTATGTTGCGGAACATGGCCTCGAAGTTTCTGTATGAACTAAAGAGTTTCAGTACAGCGGAAGCACGGTGTTGGCAAAACACTTGGTAACCAGATGAAAACACTGTCCTGACTCCAGAACGCACCAAAAGATGTAAATGGACGATTGATGGTTATGCATGTTCATTATGTAAATGCTTCATAATCTTTCACAATAAAATAGTTTTCTTCTGCGTATCCCCTTCATGATAAAGGGCTCCTCAGCAGTGTACATCCACGACCGCTCACATGAGACTTGAGCCCAGCACCTTCGGTCTCGTGCGTGAACGCATAACTTCCAGACCGTTGAGTCGGGACCCAATGGTTATTATGTCTAACCTCAATCAGTCCACAGTATTGTGAGAGCATCTTCTATTGTCTTTGTTATATAACTACCCTACATCCGACACGGTTGGTCTCTACTAGTTATGGTTTTCAGTAGAACTAAAGTTGATTTGTTCATGATTTCAATGAAAGTCAACAATCTCTACAACCCTGAATCGACAATTTTAATAACCGTTTAAATTTTTACATTGATTATTTACAAGAGTTTAAAATGTTCAATATCATTTTTCATCAGTGAAATTCATAGTAATTACTTTGTAAGTTTAAAGTGCCTGAGATTAACAAATTTTAATCAATTTACGGATCCTAATGTTTATCATTTATCAGTGATACGGTCAATTATTTCTTGATTTTTATTCGTTTTCCTTCACACTATCCTTACTGTCAGTTATCAATGTTTGTGTAATTTCATCATGGTTAAAAAAAATATGTATCACTGTTCCTTGTTGAGCATATAAGTCCAGTTTCAATTCCAGAAAACGTATAAAAAATCTGGCCATAGTCTTCTGAAATTTACTGAAATCATAGCTATAAAACTTAGGAAACTAAATATATACATTCAAAAAGAAACAGTAATAAAATCTTTCTTAAAGCGTTCACGCACGAGACCGAAGGTCCTGCATTTGAATCCCGCATGCAGGGTCGTGGATGCATACTATTGAGAAGTCTCGTACCGACAAAACGGTCATATAGTGCATCCAAGTTTTCAATGGTGGTCTAGCTTAAATTGACTCATCAATTTAACAATTAAAATCTTTATTTATCAAAGTGAAATTACATTCACTTCATTATGTTATTCTTTACTTCAACCCTTTCGGCATAATTTGATTATATCATTCTTATTTCTTCTATTTTTCTTTTGAGATTTTTTAATTTTTTTTCTAATTAACTGATTTCAACTGCTCGTTCTTATAATCTTATTAGCTTTGTTGTATGATATAAATATTTAGTTTCAATGAAACTTGCTTGTATAAGTATGTTGGTTTCTATCATAATTTTGGTTTTGATAGATTGTATAATAGTTGACAAGAACTAAACAAAACAAAATGAATTCATGTTATTCTGTTCAACTTCTTTTTTTTCTATTTTACTCTCAGCAAACGTTATAAAAGGGAGCTATGTTTGAACTCACTTGATGTTATTTATTTGTATCTTCCCATTGTTACTTAGGACTGAAATTGATCAGTCTCTTATTGGAATATGTCCATTTTGTGCGTATTGCCTTGATAAAGCCTTAATTCACAAGCATTATAAGCAAACATGGTAAGTGGCTAGCAGTGGAATCCAGGATATGCGTTTTGTCCTATTTGGGACTCGTCAGCTGGATGTACATCAACTCTTAAATGCAGGTACATTCAGCTGACGAGTCCTGAACAGGACGAAACGCGGATCCTGGATTTTACTACTAGCCACTATCCATCTTTGTTTGCGGAGCTGTGTGTAGTTTCCTACTTGATACATTAATTTGTTAGAGTTTGAAAGATGTTCACGAATATTGACTTCATCAGAAACTCCTATCGAGTAGATAATGCAGTAAATATATTCGATTATTATTTATAAAGTGAAAAGAGGCTGAACAGAATATGAAGATATTTTCATTATAATCTCATACCCTAATCTCCTTTTTCTATCCGTGCTTGGTAGTGGCAGTAACCCTGAATACCCATTTCCACTTAACTTTGATCGCATTGAGCAACGTCTCTAAATGATGATTACTTATTACTTTAAAGCAACCATTTGTGATAGAAATTCGATTTTAGAATTATACATACAAATTCATGAAAAGATATGATCATCTACAGAACTTACATGTATGTGGTATATATACGACAGGGGATAGGTTAAAAATTGTTTCTGTATTCAGAACTATACTTCATCTTTATGTACTCAACCTCCGATAGAATAGATGTAGAGGAAAAATGATGAGATACTAAATAGAATAACCTAATGATTAGTTCCAGTTGTTATTATTAAGACCTTCAAAGTGTAGCTAATCCAATCGAAATAAAAATCAAACATGTTTATCAATAGAAAACTTGTGATTAGTTATCTTGGAACATCTCTATGGATAATATCGCTAGAGCGAATATTTCATGCAATTGGTTCCTTTTTATGAATTTAAATAAATCCGGAACAACAATTGAAGGAGAATAATACGAATTCATTATGTTTCATGATTTCTCACCAGCTGTTTACATCCATATGTGTATTGAAGTGTAACATTGAGGTATGACGTAATGTGAACCAATCGATATTGTTATCGGAAAGAATTAAAATAAAAAAGATTATCAATAATAACTATGTCTATATATATCTGTGCACGAATAAGTTTAAGGTTATTTGCAGATTGGATGCAAAACTATGGGGAGACGAGCTGAGACGGTAATTAAATAAGATCTGAGAACAGATAAGATAGATTATATGATAATTATAGTTGTGAAGAGTTTACATAAGATTCAGAACACCTTAGAAGAGATATAGATTTAGAGCAATGAGGTGATAATTGTCTAGAAATCGAATTTGTAGGGTTACATAATAATTAGAAAAGAATTTGAATGATTTATGTAAGTCTAAAGAATTAAGTGAGTAAAAAAACTATAAATGAAAGGATGGTTTTAGTGTACACGAATTAAGAATCAGATTTTCAATAGTGGACTAACATGATCTCAATGACACTCAACAATCTCCACAACTCTATACAAATAAGATTTAGTTTAGCAAAGACTTTACACTAATAATATAATAATTACAGATAATATTATTTAAGACATTAAATAGGAATAATATATTTGTAAAATCTCAAGGAATTATTCCTTGAAAAAGCTTGGACCAGATTGCCAGGCGAAACGTTGGATTTAATTTAAAAAATTCATTCGCTGAGATTTTATAAATATATTATTCCTATTTAATGTCTTACTTCAACTCGGCGCTCAAATACTGTGAAACTATTCGTTCTAATTTAGACGAGAGTTCTTATAAATATTATTTAAGGTTATAAATTTACCAAGTTGGTGATAAGTTGACTACTGTCTCATCTTGGACACACAGACCAGGTTTAAGTTTTTTAATTGCTCCCAGATTGAGGAGTAGTAGTATGTAGTGTGTCTAGGTGTAAATAATCTATAAATGTGCAATAAAATAGATTCGGTATTTATTTTTTAAACATATTTCAATTTCGTACTCTAAAAATTTTTTTTCTCATTTTTTTCTCTCTCAAACTTAAGCTGATAATGTGCATCATCAAGTGAGACAAGTGCGTAAAAGAGATTTCCGAATGTTCGGTTTACATGATTCTCAGGGTAAATCAAGATTATCACCACAATTGAAAATTGCAGCTCTACGGCATTTAGCCTCAGGTTGGTTTCTTTTCCAGTTGCTTTATTCATATTCTATAAACTTTTTGTAAAATTATCTGCAACATCCTTATGGTTTAAGCAGATTCACATTTGAACATAGAATGAGTTGAGTTTACGGAATATTCTCAAGTTGGATAATAGTCCAGTTTCGATTTGGCGATTTTCTCAAGATAAGATTAATTTATAGGTAATATCACAGATCGACTTAATTTGGATTATTGTTAAAAACCGGAGAGCAGTAGACAACTGTTTTTAACGTAATAATGTTTAAATGCTCGTCATGATACCTGAGACTTCTATACTGAATCTTTGGTGCGGTCTTGATGAATATTTCCTAGGTGCTTTTTGACGTCATCATTTTTCACCTCCTCCTCATACTTTGATTAGTTTTTAAAGTTATGAGACTTTTATTGATATGATCATTTTTTTATGTAGCCCTTTTAAAAAAATAATGAATCTTGACGTTTTTTTCACTTCAGTCAGACAACTGAATATAATTTACAGCAAATTCTACTGGTACTCCAGTGTCACTGAACTCAAATTAATCATTTCAATACCATATGACATTGTTTAACAACCGGTTGCCGACTAATGTGAATTTTTATTTAAAATTGATTTTAGTCATGGACTAACATCAACCGAAGAACCATTAAGCTCCAAAAATTGCACTGGGAATTTATTTCTTGGGTACGTCAGTAACCAACTTCTACTTAAATTTCCGAAGTTCCAATGAATATTCTTGATTGATTGATCTTAGGTGTTGGAAGTAAAACAGTTACCCACCAATACGATTAAATGACGTTGTGCCATAGAGTCGACTAGTGGGATTTAGAGTTGTGATCCGTTGTAATTCAACTCATTAGTTTAAGGGTAAGAAGCTCATTGAGAGTTCTGAGGGTCTTCGACTTGATCACTGATAAGATCGCGGATGCGTATTGCTGAAATATCTCAAATTAGAGCGAAGTATTTCACCCAATGCTTCTTGTTTTTCAATTATTCCTCAATCAGTGTGAATTTGTGACGAAAACTAACTTTATATTATTATTATTATTGGTAGTAGTAGTGTAGAGAGTGAAAACTCAGGTACGGTAAATCAATTTTTTGCCTAATGCAAAATTACACAGTGCCTTTGTAAAATATGAAAATCATACATTGAATACACCATTTACATATCTTCCTTGAGTTTTCCTTTACACACTCCATCATTTTTCTAATCTTGTCATTCCAATTATTCTCCTTTCGTTTATATTCTCTTATTTCAATCTTCTGCTGATAATCATTCCACTCCCCATTCCTGCTACATACTACTTATGCATGTCCTCATAAGTAGCATACACTACCATGATAGTATTCGATTAACATTCATAATATGGCTCATTAATTCATGCTACTTGACTTTCGATACATTAGCTATATTCAAACTACCTATACAACGTCACTGAATTATATTATTGCTGATATTATTCCTTTTATATACAAATAGGATACACCATTGTGTATTGAGTATTAATCATGTTTCTATCACAGTATATCTAACTGATACATCTTGCATAATACAAGCTAATCATTAGCAAAACTTTCTAAACTACCATCTGGTAATAAGATTCTAATTATTAGTTAAAAAGTTTCTACGTGTAAGCTAACATTCAATGTGAAGTGTTCACTATTAGCTTCGGTTAAAAAATTAATACACACAATTGACTAATAGATACTGTACAATAGATCAACAAATTGACAACAGTCCATAATATCGGTCTACACAAGTTTTATAAGGTGTTATTTTTGTTTCAATTTTCAAGTGTTAAGTAATGTGAGTTCACATTTCACAAGCGGACTAAGTGTAGGTGCACTCAACGGATAACTATTATATTACATAAATCATACAGTATGGATGAATCCCACTATATCATTCTAAAACATTGATATATACTGACTAGTTACCTATGTATTTTGAAATTTACAGTGTTATTCCCTTGATTTTGTGAAATACTCATTCAATCAATGTTATCCAATTATTCAAACATATTGGATGATGTTGAAATGGAAAATTCTTAAACCTTCGGTAATGTATTAACATTAATCCAACTTCCTTTTCAGGTCTCTCAAGAAATTACCCATACCCTTTTACATCTATTTTATTCAGCTCCTAATGAATTTGATAAAGTGTTAATCTGATCATTTAATTAGTTGTCTTATTAAGTAACATTCTTTGTTGTGTAATTTCACTGTTCACTACAAACTTGAAAAGAAAACATGCTTCCTATACCTACGCTTCAAAGGTGACGAAATCGCTGGGATAATTAACCACAGACTTAATTCCGCGTTGAAAGTGACCTACCCAGCAGCTAAATTGACGACGGTGTGGGAAACAAACTGCTCACTCAAACAAACCAAAATCGATAAGTCCTCTTTTCTCAGTACCTCCAACTGCATTTACCAATTTACATGTACGTGCCGAAGCACATACATTGGAAGAACCGAGAGAAAAGTGCATGTCCGCATTTCTGAGCATGTTCCCAATAAACTGAGGTTGCAAGGGTCTAGGGCTCTCAACAGTGCGATAGCTCGGCATTTACTCGACACCGGGCACAGCATCGACATTTCTCATGCCTTTAAAATCATTAGTAAACAAAGAAGTACAACTACCCTCCGGTTTGCTGAGGCGATCGCGATAAAAAAACTCAAACCGGACCTATGTATTCAAAAAGAGACAGTGATAAACTTATTACTACCTTGGTAACCCATTTTTGTTTTTCTTTTTGTTTCAGTTTTGTTGTTGTTATTAGTTCGATTTTGGTTAATATTTCAGTTGTTTTTTATTTTTTTTATACCCAATTCTTAAACCACCCTTTCTCTCACACATTTCCGCTCATTTGTCTCTCCTAATTATATGAACTATCCAAATCTTATTTAACTATTACGTAACCCACCCTGATTGTTTTCAACTACCTCTATAAATTATTCAATTATTACGTAACCCACCCTAATTGTTTTCAACTACCTCTAAAATAATCACATTTTTGATTTTATCTGTCTCTGAACTCCACTCAACTATTACGCCTCCCTTTATTTCAATACCTAATAACCTCTGACCTTTCCTTGCCCATATATATAGTTATCATCGATGACTTTTTTTTGTTCCAATCCTTTACATTCAATTATGTCAATTGTCCCACATTATTTATTACTCTAATGCATATTTGGTTGTAATCAGCTGATGAGAAACCACGAAATATAATGAATTCATATTATTCTGCATCAATATTTGTTCTATCTTTATTTAAATAAATCTTCCGTTCAATTCCGTATAGTACACTTAAACTTACCCCGTTTGTACGACGGCATACACAATGATCATATTTAACTCTAACCAAGAAAGTTATGTACACATATATCATAATAATCGAAATTGACAATTTCAAATGAATAGTCATGTCACAAGTGTAGTCATGTATTCTGTCTCCGTCAATACATTGAACCTTGTTTTTCAAACAAAAAATAATAATAATAATAATTTCATTATCATGTAGTTAGATCTCAAACAACTATTTCACGTGCCGTTTATTCGTTCAAACAACAATCACGCACACACACACATTGGTGTTAAAAATCCCCCTCACTTCTATTATTAGTACTGAATTTCAAATTGTAAAAAATCACACATTTATGATGTATACCGATTTTAAGGTCAACATGAAATAGTTTATTATTATCGTTTTTTCAAACTTTTCACACTATGTGTGGTTAAAGTCAATAAAATACATTTCATGTTGTAAACATTTTTTTTGTTGGTATTATGGTAGATCGTTTGTTTCTGTGGAATGTTTAATGACTCTGTGACCTTGAACCAATAAACAACTGACCATATTGTAATCAATCATTAATCAAGCAAATATTTTTAGAAATTTCTGAAAATCTACTTACTGATCATTCATTATTTTCTGTTGACTATTATTATTCGTTAGTTGGATATATTTTCATAGTTAAAATCACAAGTCAATTGAAGCTAGACAACCAGGGAAAACCTGGAAGCATAGGACGGCCATTTCGTCCTATTGTGGGACCCCCCAGCAGTGCCCATCCATGAACTCGCCTCGCGAGACTCGAACCCAGGACTTACCAGTCTGGCGCCAGAGCACTTAACCGATAGACCACTGAGCCGGCATCCATGGTGTTAATGTCTAACTCCAACCAATCCACGAAGTTGAGCAACCATTCACCGATTGTCTTCAATGAGTTCCTATCTCACAACAGACGTGGTTTGCACTCCACTGGTTACTGCTTTTCACTAGAACTCCTGGATTTACCTCTCGAAGTCAGTTGGATATATACTTTGTATAGATTATAAAATATATATATAGGTCGATGGTGGGTAACAGTAGAATCCAGAATCCACTTTTCGTTGTATCTGAGACTCGTCAGCTTGATGTACGTGCTTCCCAGTGTTGTGTTTCATTTCGAGACTCTATTCAAGTATCATTTGCCTCACACTTATAACGTCTGAAACAAGCAACTTGCTATCTGCACTCAAAAGCTAGCTTACTGGATAAGATGTTGAACGTTTGAAGCGAAATATGTTGTATTCGATTCTCGGTATGAATGCCAACAATGTGGTTTAGATACATGCAGTTGACGAGTTCCAAATAGGATAAAACGCATGTCCTAGATTCCATTACTATCCACTATCCAGCTTTACTTAAAGACTTATGATTTAATAGCGATATGTAAACGATCCACTCATGGTTCACATGTCGAAAGAGACTAATCATTTGTAGTCCCTAACATCAGTAATGGGAATATTCAAACCCTTAAAAATAAATTCTAAAACATTGTCTGAATAACAATAATATTTTATAGAGTAGAGATCGTGAGTCAATTGAAGCTAGACCACCATGGAAAACCTGGAAGCACTGGACGGCCGTTTCGTTCTATTATGGGACTCCTCAACAGTGCGCATCCACGACCCCGCACTCGCGAGATTCGAACCCAGGACCTACCAC